CAACATAACAGCAGCAGCAGCAGCAGCAGCAACAACAAAAACAACAACAAAAACAACAACAATAACAGTAAATAATACAAATGTGATGAAGCAAACTATGGATCGAATGCTATCTTTTACTGCCTCCTCATAATTCTGAGCTGTGAAACTAACAAAGATCCATGATTATAGTAAACATATATATACGTAACTGTACATGTACAACAACAGCATTATGCTTACATGCTGGCTGTAGAAATTCATTTTCCAATCACCTAGTTGAAGGGACGGCCGCGTAACATGAATTAAGGGACTGCTACTGGCTTTGCAAACTAAAGCAAATACCAAAAGTTGTCATATACATTTAATTATCACTGTTTACATTCATCAGCTTCTTCTTGCAGGTTTGACAAGTATAGTGAGTAACTTGGGATCCGTGAAGAGACACCTCACGTGGAAATGTTCGATAAAATGGGTGTTAACTGAACACGATGACAACGTAGCTAGATGTATGAAGTCTGGGCTTAGGGAGAATCAGCAGACACACAGGGTTCATAGTAGTAAAACACATGTTGAAATAAGGACTTATAAGAACCTTTCTGGAGGCCAAAATAAGACTTTTTAACGCGATTTCTGATAGATCACCGACTATTAAAGTACACTAATAACAGAACAAACAAATCTCCGCATTCAGCAATCGATATGACAAACCCGACGATCTTTTATGAAAAAGCCGTTTCGCCGAAATTCAACACAGAAAATGTTGAAATGTTGAAATGTTGAATGTTGAAAAAATAAGTACTAATAAAGGGCCCTTATTTTATTTTTGGCAAAATAAGTATTTATAAGACTTTGGAAGACCCGCTACGAACCTTGACACAGTGCATGGAACCACATGGTGGCAGTGACAACCTCTTCATATCAATGCTCATGCACAACTGTTCTCAGTTTCTTGCATACACTTCCTTCTCCTATTGCATGCTGCTCACAATGATTAAAATGAAAGATTTTACAAAATGTCGCTCACCCAATGCATTACTAAGCTCAGTTACTTTCTTGAAGGGAGGAAAGTGCTTGGAACTGCTGAACCAGGGGTCGAAATTAGCGGTATCCCGATATCCGCG